TGAACACAGTATAACCAGTTATCATGGGTCCTTCAGATCAGCAGCCTCAGACCATGCAGTTACAGCTGCTGGGTGCCCCTTTCTATCTTTGGGAATATGGGTGGTGTGGAGAGCAACCACTCTGAGAAAACAAGATGTGACCTTTAGACACATGCAGAAATGTGCTTCCAGGAGCTACTCTAACAATGACTATTGAGAGTATTTACATACAAAAGCGCTATCTGCCCCGTTGTTAGTGGTTGTCTTCCTGTTGTTGCTGATACCGGATAGCCAATACTGCAGGGCAGTAAGAGGCTATAAAGGAAGCTACATGAATTTAACAAATTTTGCCCCAAAAAGATCAGAGAAATTACATGGTGCCAGTCATTTTCATACCATCAGACAATTTACATAAACAAAAAATGGCTTTGCATTCTATTTACTCTTCCCCCATTCTCTTTGCATTCCCTTTCCTCTCATGCCATTTTCTGCCCTTTAAAAGAATAAACCTGGGGCAGTTCAAGGTCACAACTTCTCCATCAGAGAAGCTGGACCCACCTGATCCTCTCTTTTCTATACTTGTGTGTCTTTGAATGTTTGTTATTGCATTTATTTCTAATCCACAGCGTTCCCTACTCAGAAAAATGTGTTCAGCCAAGCAGGTCTTAGCAGGGTGGTCTCTGCATTCAAGCACAGGGTCCCATAACTGACAGATATAATAGATAGCTTTCACCTGCCAAAGGGGAATCCTGATTGGACTAACATACAGGTTGGGGAGGTCCTGTCCACTTGACTGGAAGCTCTCATGTTTGTAAAGTTGTGATATAAGGGAACAATGATAGAGAAAAGCACATTTTACGAGTCTACATGGCACCTTTTGGAATACAGAAAGTTTCTATGTCATTTGTCCTGCTTCTCCATCCACAGTATTCAACACTGCGCCATGCTCAAACCCATTCTTCTTGCAATGACCTTCTCCCCTCCCCATCTACCAATGTTCTGGTCCCATTCTCTATTACCTCTTGCCTGTAGATTGCATTGTGTGTTAACTGCCTCTCCATGCCCCTCCAATCCAGCCCAGAGCTCCTCGTCCTAAAGCACCTCTTCATGGTGCTTCTCTTTTCCACTGGATGAACGATACCTATTATTATAGTCGGCTCTTCATATCCACAGGTTCTGCACTTGTGGATTCAACCAACCACAGATCAAAACACTGGGTGTTGCTGTAGTTAAGCCTGTGATGGTGCCCCTGGACTGAGAAAGTACAAGCTTTTGTTGTAATTATTCCCTAAACAATATAGTATAGCACCATTTTATTTTTAAATTTTTTTTCCAGACAATAGATACATTTTTATTGAGCCTTTTAGTTTACAATGTGCGGTAAAAGGAAAAACAGATCTCAACCAATATTTTACATAGCTGTAGTAAATTTTTTTAAGCTCTAGGGATTTATAAGGGATTACATTTTTCAAAAGTTGAGATAAGTTATGAACAAATTTTAACTCCTTGAATTTTCCAGTTGAGTCTTCCCTTACAATAGTAACAAGCTCTAATTTGTGGCATAAGTTTCTTTAAGGCCAAGTTTTATTATTGTTGATGTCTTTAGGTCTGAAGAACTGCTATTTCAATCAATATCCACTAATTCCACTTCAAAAAAAGAATTTTGCCTTTGGTGGAATTTTGGCATCAGGCTGTCCTTTCTTTCCATGAGCCCTTTCTGGTTCAATCTCTAGTCGAGCCTTTTCTCCTTAGCTCATAGTCAGAAGTGCCTCATCCCATCCTCTGGTAGCTTTGCCTACACCAACCTTAAAACCTAAAGGCTTGGAACTTTTTTCTTCTCTGAACTTGTTTGAATATTAGTATCAAAAACAGCCCTGTCTTGTAGTGTTCTTGTACACCAGCAGTGAATAACATTTACCTTTGGGGAAAGTTGTTTTATCTCCTTTTTTAAGAATAGATTTTGTGTATTTTGGTGGACCCTCATCCTGAGTCTCTTCAGATTTCGTTTCTTTGGGTTTATCTTCATTAAGCTTCACATTTTTCACTAGCTCAGATACTTTACTTATACTTTCAGTACCCTTGAAACACTTGCTTTCAAAAAGATGTTTATATATGCTGTAACCAAACGGTCCTTGTTAGCTGTCTTGGCGACATTTTCAATGTTTCTTAGTAATTTATGTCCTGTAACGATTCTGAACCGTGTTCCTTCTTGGGCAACTGCTTGCTGCACAGTTGCTCCATGGACCACACCCACTGCGGAGCACCGGCGGCCACCTTCTCCTGCTGCTGCTGTGTTACTCACCATTTTATATAGCATTTGCATTGTGTTAGGTGTTATAAATCATCTACAGACGTGTCAAAGTATACAGGAAGATTGTGTAGGCTATATGCAAATGCTATATCATTTCATATAAGGGACTTGAGCACCCCCAGGTTTTGTTATCTGTGAGAAATCCTGGAACCAATCCCCCATGGATACCAAGAGACAATGGTACAGATGACCACATGCTTCAGTTTGCCTGAGAGTGTGAATTAATATCTGTTGTCCCAGAGTAATTACAAACAGTACTACCCTTTGTTCTCAAAAACATCCTAACTTGGCTCATCAGAATAATATATTCACCTTACTTAGTATTGTCTGAATAGAGCACGAGGGCCCTATCTTGACAACCTGGCCTTAACCTTCTTTCCCAGTTTCCTCACCACTGTACTCTAACTCTAATCCCATCTGATGGGCTTCTACCTCATTTGGTCAACACATCATGATCGTCCTTACTTCTGGGTATTTTTTTCAAATGCTACTGGTTCTCCTCTCTCAAGATTAAAAGCTCACTTCCACTTGCCCCTTCACGAGACTTCATTTACGTTCCATCCTGCCTGTACAGTCTTCATTTAAATCTCTTGTCAATGACCACTTAGCTTCTTCTGACTTCCTCATGTCTGTATAGTTGGGTTTAGAACAGAAGATTTGGGTCTGGGAGGATACTACACGGCTGTTGGAATCACAGGAAAGACTCTGGGTAAGCATAAAGTTGGTGAGAAATGGCAGCCAGGTTCCTGCCGAATACGTGACTGCAATACTTGCAGTCTGGGAAACCACTGCTGGAGACCAGAATCAGAGGGCTGAAATGGGTTTCTGCTCCCATCAGTTTCATCCTGAGTGTCAGTGAAGACCCGCCAAGCCAAAAATCCTTTGTCAAGAATGCAGTGCCCACCCTCACAGCCAAACCTCTCACTTGCTTTGCTTCCTTTCTCCCCTACAGCTCAGTGTGGGTTTCTCACAAACAAATACAACTACCACAATAAAATATGCACAGTTTATGTATTCCTAAAGCAACTTTTATTTTCATTTAACATTATGAGTCACACCTTGGGTGCACAAGATAAATTCTTCCTAAGAATACAAAAACATTTTTGAACTGATGATCTCTGCCATGACCCTCATAAAGCTCCAGGGAGGTAAGGAGGAGAGGGGTAACATTGCCCCCACTTGGCAGGGTTTGAATTGCATCTCACAGAGGTCAAGTGTGCTTGTTCAAAGATTTACATATTATAAAGAACTGACATTGGAAAGAGAAGTTTAAAAGCATCAACTTACATACCATCTTTTTTTTAAAAAAATTATTACATAAAATGGATTTTTTTGAATGATGACGTTTCAGAACACATATCAGGTAGGGAAAATTAATCAAGCATTGTTCAGGCTCTTTTAAGAAAGGTGGACATTTATAGATTTGGAGTTTGTAGTTTTTGGTTCAGGTACTTCACAGACGCCTGGACCCACCTCTCCTGGGGGTCAGCACAGATCTCTTTGCCCAGTTTTGTCTTGAAGCTATGGGAGAGAGGGGAATAATTAGAAGGCTCCTCCTTGAAAAGTCTTCCCATTTGACTTTAAACTTTCTAGGACCATTTGCCAACGAGAGTAGGGGTTGCCATGAAGAGAAGAAAGGGACAGAAAAAGGATGGGACTGTGGGGTTAGCTGCTGCTCTCAATGGCCAGTAAAATATCTTTGCTCTTGAATTGAAGGAACTGGTATGACCTGAATAAGCTCCCAGGCAGGGAGCAGGGCACTGAATGATCCCTGTCATGAACATTCATGCGTAGGGTTATAGACATCAGACTTGCTGAGCCTATGACTCCAGGTAAGTTTGTCACAGTTCTTGACTATGCCCTAGAGAAAAACTTTTGGTCCAGGGAAGGTGGGATTTGTATACTTACATCACAGCTTTGCGAGGACATTTGCTGCCACTGACTTGTCTGTAGCTCTCCAGTTTCTGAATGGAGATCTTCCGACTGGCCACATTAAAACAGCAGCTGGTTGGGATGAAAGCTGAATTTTGGGGGGGAAAATGAACAGAAAGTATGAGCCGCTAACAACATGTAGATATTTTGAAGACTTTCTTTCTCAGGGAAGATCAGAGGTGAGAGAATGTCCTATACCTCTGCCTTTGACTTGGAAACCTCTGCACAGTGAGGACCTGTCACCACTGACCAATATGGAAAAACTTGGCCAGGGTGATAAACTCTAGCTCTGTCTCTAGCTATGTGGCTGTGTGATAGAGACAGTACTGTTCACCAGTAGTCTCTAATCTCGGCTATCTGGACACAGGGAGACTTGTACTTGAGTATTTTTCTTTGGCTGGAGCCATTGACTAGTTTGACAGATAAATAAAGAGCAGGGACATGTGTCATTTCTAAGCCAGAATGTGTCATGTATGCAAGATTCGAGGGAGCTTTCTTTTCCCTTGTCACCATAATCAGCAATGATCCTGAGCAGGGCGGCTCCCTCGGTCTAGAATCCTCAATAGTTAAAGCAGAAACCTGATCCCTTCCATCATTTGTAGGAGTAAGAAGTCAACCTTTGTTAATGAAATCCATGTTGTTAAGCTATTGGTAGTTGGGACTGTTTGTTACGACAGCATGCACTAGCTCATTGGGACAATATTTTCAGAAGGTACATGCAATCAGTTAATGGGAACATTAGTTAAGGTGCAAACTCTTAGAGAAATTTTCCAGAATTAAAGTAAGTCACCTTGAAAAATTTCTCTGGGACTCCATCCCATTCTTTTAACTCCTGTTTCTGAAAGATGTCCTGGAGTCCAGCAAAATTCTGGAGCTCCAGTCAACAGATTTTTTTTTTTCCTTTCATTGCGGCCAAAATGGTCACCATGCCCACAGTAAAAAATGGCTTTTCTTTTGTGTACTCCATGCACAAATGCCAGGACAACTGGATCTAAAGAATCTCTCTTAATGCTTAGATCAGAGAAAGAATGTGAAGACCAGCTTCAGTGGCTTGTTCTGACTTGTTCACTGGCTGGATGTGAGGCTGGGACTTTTTGTTGTTTTTTTTTAAAGAATTATTTATTTATTTATTTAATTCCATTTGTTATTATTCCTTCTTTTTTTCCCCTAAGAACTATTTAATTTTACTTATTAATTCATTTACTTTAATTTGACCAGAGAGAGACACACAAAGAGAGAGAGAGAGAGAGAATGAAAAAGCAAGCCACCAAGTCCAGGACCTGAACTATGGTCGGCCATGTGGGAGTGTCCAGCACCCCACCCATCATGCCACCTGCTGGCCCCATGTTACTATTATTTCTTAATTTGACCAGATTGAGAGAGAGAAAGAGAGAGAAAAAGAGAAGGGAAAGCAAGAAAGCAAGCCACCAGGTCTGGGACTCGAACCGTGGTTGGCCATGTGGGAATCCAGCACCTTTAACCACCACACTATCTGCTGGCCCCTTAGGCTGGGACTTCTTACCCATGCATTAGTCCTGTTACCCTTTCTTAAAAATGCAGAGTTCGGGGACCAGTAGGTGGCATGGTGGCTAAGGCACTGGACACTCTCACATGGTCGACCACAGTTTGAGTCCCCAACCTGGTGGCTTGCTTTTTCACTTTCCCTCTCTCACTCTCCCTGTGTCACTCTTTGGTCAAATTAAAATTAATGTATTAATGAATAAAATAAAATAAATAATACTTTAAAAAATATGCGGAGTTTGTAGTGTGTGTGTGATGAGTTTGAAGAGTCTTCTGACCTGATAGTTCTGAAGGCAATTTCCTTTTCTATAGGGTGAAAAAGAGTCTTACCTGGCTCAGCAAATACCTGGGAGCTGAAGGAAATGGCTGTGAGCAGCAGGCACAGGATTGCTGCAGAGATCTTCATGGTGAAGGGTGATGAGGAGAGCTGGAGGTTTCTGGGTTGATCTCAGTCTCTCCGCTCCTCTGACTTTTAAAGGAGCGGAGAGTGTGTAAGAGCTTCCAGGGAAGCCTTTGCTGGGAGGAGGGTCAAGATCAGGTCATGAAGAAGAGGGTTCCTGGATTGCTGACTAAGATCCAGATCCTGAGAGGTTAGAGGTAAACTAGTGGGTGGGACTTGGCCCATTTTCATCTATTCTGGAACTCAGACTAGCGAAGGAACAGAAGATGTGGTTGTGAAATTAAACTAATAACTACAGGGGAGAGAAAAATAAGGAGCCGGGGCTGGGGAGATGAGTTGATCTAAGGGCTTTCCTCTGTCCCCGTGTTTACATGGTGGTCGTCAGGAGTTTGGAGGTCAAGAAGGGATCCTAAAACTTCAGCTCCCCTCCCACTCAGAACCAAATGGTCCGTGAGCCAGGAATGATAGCACACAAACGCCTCACTGCTAAGGTTTAATGAACTAGAATTTTAGTGTTATGAGATATCAGAACTGGGTCATTTCTGTGGATTCTGGCTTCCTGTGCATTTTAAAACTATTTATTCAGCTGCCAAAGCCCTTTTCCAAATGGGATGAAAACAAACTTCCACACATCTGCTATACCATAGTGGAATGGGTCTGTTTGCAAGCAAGGAGCCCCTTGGGCCTTCATGCACCAAGGACTTATGGAACACATTTGGGGAACCAGCCATCTTGTTCATCCTTTGTCTCTGAGCACACACTGCAGGCAAGGTATCTGATAGCTAAAAATATAAAACGAGATAGTGGACACAAGAACCCACATTTATCTTTGTGTTTAGCTCTAGACCCCTAGAAGGAGAGGGTGCAAGAGGAGGTGAAGTCTTCAATGGGGTCACTGTGGTGAAATATAGCATTGACTACTGACATGGAGGCATTAAAAGACTATTTCCTGGTTTTTCCTGCATGATCCTCCATCATATTAATTTGTACAGGTTGCACAGATAGGTGTTTTAAGAAGACTCTGAGGACTTGCCTTGGGTTAGTGGAAGATAGTATTGTGCTTGATTGGTAATGTCTGTCATGTGCATAGGGTTAGAAGTGCCTTTGCTGACTTGCTTGTCTCTAAGTTTTCATCTAGAATAACTGCAATTATCTAATAAAGGCCCAAGTAGAGGCCAGAAAACTTGGACCTTCTCTGCTCTGCTGAGCTTTAGCTGAGGGAGTCTGGAGTAGACTCTGGGACCAGGATGGCTGAGTTTGGAGGGTGGCTCTGCCATTGACTAGCTTCAATACCATAGATAACTTATTCAACTATACTCTGCTAGATTGAGGTGGGTATAATAATCATAGTTACCTTAGGGGATTATTGTGTGAATTAAACAAATTATAAAGTATTTAGAAAAGTGAACGGATCATGGTAGGTGCTCAGTAAGCGAGAGTTAATATTTATTATTATTAGGAAATGGGGCAGATTTGGACACCAAATGAATGGTGAAAAAGGACTTAGAGTCTGGCTAGATGGCTTCCTCTGTACATCCTTTCAAATTTTGTCACTGTTTCTAAATAAAGTCATGCTACCCTAGGAGTGATTTCCAGAAATGCCTGACTAGCAAATGTGGGAGATTTGCGTCAACGAAAGAAATTTGGAATGTTCTTGACCTCAGAGGTGTTTGGCTGACACTGTAAAGTGATTATATTTCCTTAGTAGGAATAATTTCATAATTTTGCTGGGAGTTTTGAGGACTCTATTGACATGTGACTTTGCATGTTTGTATTTTCCTTCCTGGGCTTTGGATTTAACCTGGACCTGAGAAACCTCAATGGGAGTACATAAAATCTGTCTTTTGACACCCAGTTTGGCAGCTATTCCATCTATCTTTCTGGCTGCCTGGCTGTCTCTAGCAAGGGGATCAGTCAGTTGCCTTTTTTTTAATCTTTCTTCCTTAGGGGCTTCTCATTCAGAAGTGACCGAGAGTAAATTTATTGCTTGTCAGTGATTTAGTGCTTGACTAGTGGGAGGCCTTGGTCAGGAATGACCTTAAGTGCTGGAAGTGTACTGGTCCCACATTCTGAAAACAGAATATGGGCTTCTTAAGTATTTTCCAAGGAAATTCTTGACAAGTGATTGTCAGATAAGGGTCCCAGGAATCGTACTTCTAGGTTTTGTTTTGCAACTCTAACTTAGAGTCCTTGTAATATTGCAAAGTTTTACACACACTTGAAACAGAAATGAACACTTATTTTTTAAAAAAATAGAGAAGTGAGACTTGGAAGCCAGTGACAAAACCTTTAAGACAACTGGATGCGTTTGAAGCTGAACTGATTCTACAGCCCCTGACTCTCCTTTTTGTATAAAGTGATTTATTTATATTTCCTCCACGAGCAAGAGAGATGGGGGGGGCCAAGAGATAGTAAGTACCCCCAATAGAGTCTTGATACCACCATCAATCCCTAGCTTCAATCAGTCTGGGAACCAGCAGTTAGCGTAATGGCTATGTTGCTGGACTCCCACGTAGTTGATCGTGATTCACATCCCGGACCCGGTGGCTTAAACTCACGCCGGGCGCATGTGCGTACGTGCCCAAGAT